TATATATATATATATATATATACATTGTTAGAAAGTTATAATTTTGGCGGGATCTTTTTGAATAATGTGTTTAAAATAATTCTACGCCCATTTCACGTGACTATAACAAATTAGTATATTTCTTTGACGTTTTTACATGCTTGATTGAACACTTGTATTACTATTAAGCCTATGTTTATACTATCGTAAAGAAAGATTCAGGTAGTTTCGAGTAACAAATAAACTGATGCAATGCATTTATTACTGACACGACTGACACTCATAAATCGTGTAGTGCTACCACTACATTCTAGTGAATGATCTAATTGCTGTTTGAACTCTTAACTCGAACATCTTCTTGTACAGAATACGGATGAAAAGTATTCCTCTAGAAAAAAATATTCACATGTAAACCAGTTATTGATGTTTTGTGAAGTGACGATTAAGTTTGAAGAGTTCAATTTACTGTACACCAAAGTGGTTTACTAAAAATGTAAGCAAAGTTATCATTTTTACAAAGTCATTGGTCAATGTATTAATCACTACATCATGACTAATTTTGTTAACGAGACTAAAGAAACGTCTTTGGAAACTGTCTGCAAAGAAAACGAAATGATGTTTACAAAAATCAATGTAACTTGTATATTTTATTATTGATAGGCAGGGCGGTAAATAATGCGGAGCTACAGGTGTTCCTAGCCTAGGGTCGTTGTTTAAGAACGCCAAGATTGTGTCGATGTACATATAAATCAACTTCCTGAGACGAAATTCGTTTGTGAACGTAATTTGTAGTTGTTTTACTACGTAATGTACAGTGTTTGTAGGCTTACTTATTTCTGTCAGGTAGAAAGTTTATACAATTCTAATTTTCAGCGGAAGGTGCATATTATTACAAATCTTGCCTTTGCTGTGAATAAGGTGACTAGAACGTTTTGTAAAAATAAGAATATAATGATTTATTGAACATGTACAAATAATTACATTGAAGTAACTCAATGGAATAAGTTACTCTGGTATCAAAACAAGTTAGGTTCAAAATAATTACAATTTCCAGTACGCCTATATCCCATTACACTTTCCTTACAAATTTTAGCGTTTAAACAATCGTTAAGAAATGGTATTATCCTTAATGTTGCTAGTCTTAAACTGTTAAACATAGCAAGGGCATCTATCGAAATGTTCCGATGTTTTCTAATTATTATGCGTTTCTTGTGAATTATTTACTTGTCAGCTTATGTAGAATTGTCTTCAATCAGTGACAAGTTACTTATATTTCTTATCTATAGTTAGCTCGTTTAATTAAAGGTTAATAATGTTCACATATAATATATTGACTCACCCTTCCTTTCAAGTTTCCTCGATTAGGCTAGATTTATCCTTACTTTTCAGAAAACCCCTGTGAGCATCAACAAAGCTTTAATAACGCGTAAACGTTTAAATGGTATTGAATTATAATGTATTTTTTACATTTTATTTTGTTTTCATATAATAAATGACCGAATTGATATTTCATAAGAAATGTTACGTCTGCACAGCTGTGAGAATTTACAAATCCTACGCCATTTGTGGGCAAATTTTCTAGACTGCCACGCCGTCTACGTGTAGGTAAAATAATAGTTAAATATTACAGATTTTGTCATATTTGATTTCTACTCGACATTTCGCATGAAATATTCAGTTAATGATCTGTTATATCTTTTGTACAAAATACTCGCACTTATAATATTACGGTATATGATACTGTATTTTATATTTCATGTTAATCAACAGTAATTTTAAACAACTATCTTGTGATCATCTATTTTTTTATTTTTTTTAGAATCGCAATTTGTTTGAAAAGCAGTAGTAATTTTGTACAACAATGACGTAGTTTATTTCATTCTATTTCCATTTGTTTGCTATCTCACTTGAGTTCTGTTTTGCATTCTTCCCATGTAGTTTACACCTTTCCTAATACCTTAAGGGTTAAAAACGTACAATTTAGTTCTTTCGGCAGACACTATCTTAATGATAGAAACATACCACTTATAATGACAGTACAAGAAACGTGCGTTTGTTCATCGAAGAAGTAAACGAAGAAAGTACTTTCTTTTCAAATGCCTTGAGTGCAACAACATCAGGGTAATTGACTGGACTTTGTTCCTTTTGTTGTTCGAACACTTCTTTAGGCCTGCAGGCGTGGGTGTCGGGTGAGGCGAGAAAAATGATCTTGTTGTTACAGTACATTTGTCGGCTGATTGTTTGAAAAGCAGAAAACTTTTTTTCTTTACCTTTACATTTAGCAAATAATCGAGGAAACTTGTTGTGAGAGGGTTCGAATTTTCTTCATTTAACTTTACATCTTTCTCGTAAATTACGTGGAGGTTAAGGCATATGTAAATTACAGGGCTAAATTTTACTGTTTATGTAAAACGCCTTCTATATCATAATATACATTTAGGCAAGGCCCAACCAACCACTGAGTATGATATTTACTTTCGAACTCCTAGAAGGGGGAGGGGGGGGGGTAGTGTGCACCATGTTACAAGGTTATTCAAAATTTGACTCTAGTAGTGGCTATAATTTGGGACCTTTGCGAAATTATTCTAATTTTATTTCTTAGTTAAAACCGCTTTATTTTTCTAACAGTGATTGTCTTATGAAATGAGTTGTCGTCGGCAGTAGTCGAGGCCAGCACTTTACAGTTATAAGAAGCATATTTATGATTTCTTTAAAAATATAGGGTGGGTTTAAATTTACTTTCCTGGAGGGTAGGTGTGCAAGGACAGCGTTGAAGAATCAAACAGTCGCTGTCGTCAAGATGTTATAAAATTTCAATTTTTACTTTTTTGTGTGTGTGAAATGCATGAACATCGTCCTAATATTCGATATTTTTTGGGTGGATTATTTGGAGCTTAAGGTGAGGTAAACCTTTAATGTACCGATGAAGACTATTGTACTTCAATCGCCTATTGTACGAGCAGTGAAAAAACCTGACTAACGCCGAAAATGGGTGGGGGGGGGGGTGACAGGTTGTTGTGCACGGAAAATGGTTCACAATTGTATCGTTTCCTCTCAGACCCAACAAGAAGTAATGTATGGGAAGCAAAAGTGAACCGATTGAAACTGGAAGCATCGTTATCAATTGAAGCTTTGTGAGGTAAGTGTCTTATTGATCTAGCCTAGCCCAAGTTAACATTAGGCCGTGTGACTTGTTTGTGTAACATATCGTCATAAAGTAGCGGTTATTCAACCTAATTAGGCTAAATTTAAAGTCAAGTTTTAGGGCAACCTTATGGA